CTTGAAGCTTAATTAATAATAATAATAATCCTTGCATTTGATACAGCGCTTTATCATGTCTTCGGGATATCTCAAAGCGCTTCACAGGATATACTGCAATGTGTAGTCACCCTTTATTTTGTGGGCGAAAGTCAGGTGAGACTTTTATGGAAGAAACTTTGGTCCCATCTGCCCGGCTCAGATTGAATCCCAGTCTCAAAGGACAAAGGACAGTGAAGGATCCAGTGAACCACTGTCTTCAATACTGCATGTTTAACATATTAGAGTACAGAGGAGTATGAAATGGACACAAAACAGAGATGAATTGACAACATTGTGCAGCCAGACAACTCTGTGGTTAAAAATATTGCTTTTAATTATAATTTGAGTAAAAACTAGTTTACATTGTAAAACCGCATAATATATGTTAATACTTTTGGCAGATATAAAATCTGCCACACTGCAAATGTTACTCAGCAGGATGCATTTGAATAGGCTTTTCAAAGAGGCTATTCCTGGCTCTTCCAGGAACTGAATCTGCAAGCGATTAGTCACCAAGAGGATGGTTGGTTTTTAAGAGGAACAAAAACCATGCACAACAATAAAGAATTTTGTTTTGTAACCTGCATTCATATCCACACACAGGGCAACAGACTGGGGAGGAAGTTTGTGTGTCTATTGTGGGTCTACAACAACAACAACATTACATTTGTAAAGCGCCTTTCATGTTGGGAGGATGTCCCAAAACCCAGGTCTGATCAGTTTGGATCAACACGTGGGATCTGTGATTAATACAGCGCAAGATGGTGTCTCGGAGTGCTGCACAGTGGCGGGTTTGAATGCTAAGTGAGGGAGAAAGGGAGTGGGGAGGTGTCTATAGGCGCGGACAAAGAGGTAAAGATCAGTATTCTTCTGTGAAATTGTGCTCCATTAGCAAAGTCCCCAGAGTGTCGGTATTAGTAAGATGCAGGCTATGGATAGTGCATCAATATTTTCTGATGTAGAAATGTCATTGCAGGAGTGCAATGGATGCGCGAATATGCGCTGTCATTAACCTTTGTGGTTTATTGTGGCATATAACATTGACTTATTTTCTAAAAGAGCACACACATCTGTATAGTTCAGAGTATGAAGGGATTTCCCCTTGAAGCCCTGTAGGACTGGAATTCTCTTCACCAGGAAATATCAGATCATAAAACTCCTGTGATACAATCACTGGATCTGAAGGAAAATGGTTTCATCATTGCCATATAATGAGGATCAACCAGAGGTCCAAAATTCCACCGAGTCTTACTCTCTAAGATAATAATATTAATAATAATCTTTACATTTGATATAGCGCCTTATCACGTCTTCGAGACAGCTCAAAGAGCTTCACAGGATATACTGTAAAGTGAATCGACTGTATATTTTATCTCAATATTTTATCCGCAAGAGCATTTTATCTCAAAATTTAAGATTGCACAGAATTGTGGAAAAAAGTTGAATCTTAATTTGGAAATGGATTTCCCACAGTTCTTAAAAAGAACCAACTTGCTAATTTAGACTGAACTTTCCGTGTGATCTTATAATTCTTAGATAAAACGAGTGTGCAGGCTAAGACTAGATGGAGTTACAGACCTCTGGTTACTGAATTCAGGTCAGATTTTGGGAGGGCACAGTGAGGAATTTGAAGTGGCACGTAGTTATTCGAATGCTTTGGAAGAAAACTGGTAAGTTCCTTCAAGGCACAGCTCAAGAACCTATACTTCCTGCCCTCCACCCCCCTTGATCCCAACCCCCAGCTCGGGTCCAAATCTTTGACTTCTAGCGCTTTGGGACATCCTCCCGATGTGAAAGGCGCTGTGTAAATGTAATTTGTTGTTGCTTGTCTGGTAACCTTTTGCTACTCTTCTCCACTGTGGTTGCTAAGACAATCATGCAAGCCATTTCCTGTTGCTAAGTTGATAGTAAAAATTTCTTACGCCCAATACACCTGTGGTCACAGTTAGCAGGATGCCAGCGTACCCCATTTGTAGCAATGGTTACAGGAGTCCTCTGGCATGGAGTGCAACGTGTAAATTTGTTTCAAAATAAAGTGTGGAACAAGCAACGCTGGAAAGGATGACATTCCGTTTCCCATTTGTGAGTTGGATGCAGTTTTCTATAAAACTTCAAATAAATTAATATTTACTTAAGTTTGCAAGAGGCGTTTGGTTGAAAAACACTCTTTAGACCATTTCATCTAATCACTGTATCAATCTGACTCAGTTGGTAGCACTCTTACCTATGGGTGAGGAGGTTGTGGGTTCAAGCCCTATTGACAGGGGCTTTGAACTAACAGTCTAGGCTGTGAGACTCTAGTGCATTTCTGGGGGGGAACACTGCATTGTCAGAGGCACCGTCCTTCGGATGAGACGTTAAACTGAGGTCTTGTGTCTGTTCACGTGGATGTTAAATGCTCTATTTGAAAAGAGAAGGGAGTTTCTCCCTGTGTCCTGGCCAACAATCCTCCAGATAAAAAATGTTCATTCATTCAGAGCTGTTTATAGGATATAGCTATGCGCAAAATGATCGTTTGCAAAATACAGTCATTACACTTTACAGTATATCTTGTGAGGTGCCTTGAAACGTGAAAAACCTGTATCGTATAACATATGGAGAGTGGCCCCTTTGGGCGACGTTAGGGGAGGGTACCTGTTTACCTAAATAAAATGAGACAACACCTTCAGAAGGCAATAGAGATTGAAGGGGAAAACCAAATAGGAATAAATTTTAAAATGAAAAAAGCATGCAATTCGATCAACATTAAGCATTGAAAATCATTTTGATGTAATTGTGAAATATTAATGAACTAAGTGTCGCGTGCGTAAAAAAAATTCAGAAGCTTGAGTGGTTCCATTTGCCTCTGGGAACTGTTTACGTCCAGACCAGACAGATGGGTTGTACGTCTCCTTTAGACAGCTGCTGAGGTCCCAAATGACAGTGTTTGCACAGTGTCAGGGCGGTTCAGTGAATGTGAATCAATGGGACACCCTGCCTTCTGATTCAGTGCAGTTGGCACCTATTTAGCTGACTCCCGCAGAGAGAGAGTAGACAGTATGGGAAATGGAACAGTCAGAATTGGCCAGTGGGAATGCTTGCTAAATAAGACTGAAGATTAAGGTCAAATTAAGATTTCAGGTTTTGTATAGATTGCCAAGGATATGAAAAAAAAGCTTTCTCAATTCCAGTTCTTTTGTTTTCCATCAATGCTCTACCCTCCTCTCCATCTACTGGGCACAGTACATCACCCAAGTGGTTCTTACGATCCCCCAAATAAAATTGGTCGTTCACTTCATGGCCGTTTGTGGGACATTGGTGTGAGAAAGAGAGAAAGGAGAGATTGTTCAATGTGTAACCTGCTACATATCTGATCCCACTGGTTTACCCCACTTTGACGACCCATGCATTAGGTTTCTCTTGCCTTTTCTCATGAGGGGCAATGAAAAGAAAAAAGGTGTTCATGTGTGTTGTCAGGAGGAATACTGAAGGGAATTGCTAAGAATTATTAGAAGGATTGAGGGGAGTAAAACCACATCAAACTGACAGCCCTCTGTAAATGACACCGATGTACAATTTCACTTGATTGCTAAATGAAAATATTATTCTTCCATCTCCCAGGGCCAGGGATACTCAGTATTTTTCCAGTGCGTTCCTGGTGTCAAAAGAACCATCATCACTAACTGGATTTAGCGGGCTAGCCCTCAAAGGGAAACTCTGTAACCAAGGGATATATAGACCGAGGAATGTGAAATCAAACTGTATTGTTTGATATCTTGCAATTATATCAGTTTTGAAACTTTTAAGTGAGTTTGTTATTTTAGTTGGTTTGAAGAGACATTGTCATCAAGCCAGATATTCCCGACTGCTTAGCTTCCTTTCTGGCTTTGAGAATAAATGATATATAATAATAATCATATATATAATTATCGACATAGTACTGACTGTGCATTTGTCACCAGTCTGGGGGATTGTTGGCCAGCACACCCGGAGAAACTCCTTTCTCTTTTCGAGTATTACCATGGGATCTTCAGCTCCTACCTGAACAGGTAGACGGGACCTTGGTTTAACAATGGAAGCAGGGCACCTCCGACAATGAAGCACCTTTCTGACTCAGAGGCGAGAGTGCTACTGCCTGAGCCAGGCTGATATGAGTTATACAGTTCATAAGGGTTTCAGATGAAGAAGGCTCTCCAACCACATTTGATTTCATCTTTCCAGAATACCAATCGTTCTGCCTTCCCAATATAGCATCAGCCTTATTTGAGTAGGGGACCCAAGTTTTATTTTTAACTTATTTTTTGCCCAGTTAGCAAATCTCAACCAGATCTAGTGGTAGTAGGGCGCTACTGTTAACCTCATTGTTCCTGGGCGAGGAAGACAATAATTCAGCCAGGGTAACAGCTCCGAAAAGGGTTCAGTGAGCCCTGCTGGAGAGCGCACTTGTAAGTTCATTAGATGAGGACAGTTTTGGATATACTGCGGAAATGCAAACTGCTAAAGTTCCCCATCTCGGTTCATATATTCTTAGGTGAAACACTCAGCAAATACAATTGAACCACACCAGACTCATTGTTTTCAAGGGGAGGTAAAATGGTTCAAAACAAAGAAGGGATGCTGAAAATGAAGAATTATCTAATCTAGAGTTAAAGATTGCTTTGATCTATCCCCCTTCTCTGATCTCTATCCAGCTGCATCTTGCTTTCTTCAGGTGATACATCTACAGAGCATACAAACTCTTTGTGACGGGTTAAAATACCAGGAGGGGACCAGTCAGTGCCTGCAGGCCATGAAGTTTCTGTTGCAAAACACCAGGATTTCAGAGGTTAAGAGTGCATTTGCTAAGAATTAAGCAGGTGTCAGTTTCCATTATTCATCTTTGAGGTATTTAAGTCTGCAGGTTTGGGTGACTGGTCTAAAGGAACCTGTCTCAGATCTACATGAATGCGAGGTTTGTTCTGTCAGCTAACACGTTCTCTCTCTCTCTGTGTCTGTTGTAGGGAACCATGTGCTGTCTCCTGGCACCCGCGTGGACAGCTTGGCAACAGAAGCTGCTCATGAGCTGGGCCTTCCTGAGGGGATTGCTGTGGCTGTCTCTCTGATTGACGCCCACGCAGGAAGTTTAGGTAAAAAACACTGGAAAAACACAGTGGGAGTGGGACCGCAAACGACTCAATTGATATTTGACAATGTGTTACAGTTACACGTAGCGATTTTTAATGTGGGCCACTTATTGACGAATGGAATCTCCCGTTAATCTTTTGCCTAATTTTTCAACACCGTTGATCACTCTATCCTCCTCCACCGCCTCTCCTCTCACCTCAACCTTCACGACTCTGTCCTTGACTGGTTCAGATCATATCTCTCACACCGCCTCCACTTCATCTCCACAAATGGATTCTTCTTTAGCCCCCACACTGTCTCAAGTGGTGTTCCTCAGGGCTCTGTCCATGGTCCCCTCCTCTTCAATATCTATATGCACCCTCTTGGTGACATCACCCGCAGACATGGAGTCAAGTTCTGCATGTATGTGGGTGACACCCAACTGTACCTCTCTGCCTCCACCCTTGACACTAGGACCACTGCTGTCCTGACAGAATGTCTGTTAGACATCAAGTCCTGGATGAGAGCTAACTTTCTACTGTTGACCGTCAACAAGACCGAGGTCCTCCTAATTTAATTGGCTCCCATCACTGCCTGCACACCTCAGGCGCGGACAGCATTGGCTTTTCATCACACAGAGGATACAGTTCAAGATCCTGGTCCTCACCTTCAAAACCCACCTTGGTTTTGCTCCTCCCTCCCTCCCTCTGCGACTTCCTAACCCCCTACCACCCTGCTCGCTCCCTCCGCTCAGTGGTCTCCGGCCTGCTTCACATCCCTTGCCTCGCCTGCCCCACCAGCCCTTCAGCTACTCTGTCCCCACGCTCTGTAACTCCATCCCATAGTCCCTCTGCTTTGGCCCCTCTCTGTTTCATAGAACACACTGTAAAGTGAATTGACTATATATTTGTGGGCGAACGCGGCAGCCAATTGCGCACAGCAATGTCCCACAAACAGTCGTAGATTGAAAATGACCAATTTAATTATTGTTTTTAGTTTTGGAGGGATTATTATTAGGCTCTGTGTGGAGTAAGGAAACTTGCCCAAGGTTTCGCCCTCTGCCTGGAATTGAACTCAAGTCTCTCACTTGCAAAGCGAGTGCTCTAACCACTGAGCTACAGGACTCCACAGGACTCCTTCTCTTCAACCGTGCCTTCACCTTCCCTCTTGACTCTTTACCCCTCCTGGCTCCCTCCCTTCCCTCCCCCTGACCATTTCCCCCCGCTCGGGTCCCGACCCAACTGTCCAGCGCCTTGGGAAGTCCTCCCGACGATAAATGCAATCTTGTTGTTGTTGATAAGGCGCTATATGAAATGCAAGTTTTATTATAAGGTGTTTGTTCCACTTGTGAGGTGTTTTTTCTCCGAGAAGGTGCGTGTGTGTCAGTCATGTGTGTCCTCTTTCCCAGACCCAACCCCCCTCCGATTCACACCAGTCAGGTTATTGATGCTCAAGGCGTTTTGGAAAAGGCAGCAGAAAAACAAAATACCACAAATGTTTTAACACCAAATTTAACACTTAAAGTACAAGGATAATTATATATTTGTTTTGCTCCATGGCCAACATCTTTTGCAATTGTTTTCACAAAGCGTCATAGCCCTTCAGTATATAGAGCCTTGTTCAGGCTGATTGAACCTTGAGTACTTCAGAACAAGAAAGAAAGTTTGGCCTATTTGATCTCATCCTTCCAGAAGAGAAACTATTTCCTCTGGTAGGGGAATCCAGAATAAGGGGGCATAACCTTACAAATTAGAGCAAGGCCATTTAGGAATGAAAAGGAGGTAGTTTTTCACCCAAAGGCAAGTGGAAATCTGGAACTCTCTCCCCAAAAGAATGTGCATTCTGGAACCATTCAAATTTTCAAGATGGAGATAGATGGATATTTGTTAGCTCAGGGTATTAAGAGGTATGGGATAAGGGTAGTTACTAGACTTGAGGTGCAAACCAGCAATGATCCATAAAAGGGCGGAAAAGGCTGGAGGGGCAGAATAGCTACTCGTGTTTCTATGTTTCTATGAATATCCAGCCTTAGTGTGCAACATCAAACTGTTTAATGAATGAGTCCCAGTGTCTGGCCTCAGCTACCCTTCCTGATAACCTGTTCCAGCAGATAATTTGCTGTGTATTGCGCACATGTGGGTTGCTGAGAGCACTTTGTTTATAAAGTGACATCAGCGATGGTTCCTGTGCATAGTGGCATGCACGTTATCACACAGAAAGTGACATCACTGGTGACTTGACACCCCAGAGAGTGGCAATTTTATGGCAGAAAGCCAGCTGGTCCCTCTACAAAGCTTTCATATCATCCCTTGGCATTGCCTTCTCACTCCGGTTTGCCTTCTCTCATCTCTCGTGCACCTTCCAACCTGGTCGTGTCCTGCAACCTTGATGATTTGTTTTTTTAAAAAAAAAATTTAGAAACTACACACTAATAGCTGCCTCCGCCCGGCTGGCTCTGGCCTCCTGCTTGCCCCTTCGTTCCCTCCGCTCCACCATTGCCGCTTTAAGCCACTTTGTCCAAAAGCTTTGGAACGCTCTCCCCCCACCCCTCCGCCTTTCTGTTGTTGATGTAGAATATCCCTTTCTTCTCACAAATTGCACACTCATTGCAGAAGGCCTCATAGCACAACACAACAACTTGCAATTCGTTACTACCTTTCACGTAGGATAATGAAGAGCTTTATAGGGATATCGTGGATTACTGAGCAAGGTAGGAAGAGAATGTTATCAGGTAGTACATTCAAAGAGAAAGGACTTGAGGATTTTGAAAACACAGTGAAAAAGCAGGAACAAGGCAAAGCACTGTAAAATATATATAAATATAAAACCCTGTTCTAACTCTAACACTATACCGTCCTCCCAACGTGAAATACAAATGTAATTTTGAATTGTAACAGTCTCCCGACAATATAATAATCTGTGCAGCTCGCACTGTTTATCACGCAGAGCATGCTGAATCCTCGTAACTCACTCCCGTTATACTTTACCCTCCACAGTTCAAAACGTGTTTAGCGTTATAAAGGGTGGGACAGAATGCTCTGTGTAAGAAAACCTACCCACAGCCACTGGGATTATGTTGCTCTTCTTACTGTTGCCCAGACCTCATTATTATTAAGATTTAGTGGCTAAAGATTTGGTTTCTGTCTCGGAGTGATTCAGGCACATGAGTCACAGAGCGCTGCTTGTCTGAGGTTCTCTCCCTCTGTGAGTTTGTGTGTGTTACCCCAGGAAACACAGCTCTCTATCACCCTGGCACCTTCCCTCCCATATGGGTACTCAGGCAGGATGCAGTAGAACACAGGATTACCACAGATGACTTTCAGGGACGGGCAGTGTCATCTGCGACTGTAAAGAACACAGCAATTCTTTCAAGGGACTTTTATCTTTATATAAAAAAGTCAGCTTCATTTACATGCATGTTTCAGACAATGACCATGCTTTTTATTCCTTTTCTTTGCAATTTATCACTTTTTTACCATGATTTTTATGGCTTTCATACATCAAACACCTCAAAAAAATGCAAATTTGACCTGTAAAGATGCCCCTATATTGATTTCTTTTTTTAAAATTGTTTTTGATCCTGTTGTGTCTGTCTGTCTTGTCTGTCTGTCTGTCTGTCCCTCCAATGTTCCCTCCTCCTCCTGTTCTCCTGAAGGCATTTGGCATATTTTTAACCTCTTGGGAGTCGGGGGGTGGCGTGAGGCAGTTTCAGCTTATAAGTTTTGGTCTAACAAGTTACTTTAGTGCCGAAAGGCTGAGAAAGAGGAACGGGGAAAACATACCTTAAAAGAGGGCCTGTCACCTTTAACAACAACACGATTCTAAAAAAGGTGTGACGCTTGGCACTGTTGGTAGTATGCCTCTGGGTTTAGCTCTCAAGTTGGAACTTGCTGATGCTCTAGTGCAGTACTGGGGGAATGTTGTATTGACGGAGATGCCATCCTTCAATTGAAATCTTTAACTGAGATTCCGACTGCCTTATTGCTTTATAATTTCGCCCACAAAATATACAGTGAATTCACTTTACAGAATATTCTGTGAAGTGCTTTGAGACGTCTCAATGACGTGATAAGGCGCTGTGTCAAATGCAAGGATTATTGTTATTGGGTCGATTTTAAAGACCCCGTGATACTATTCAACTGAAGGGAGTTTCTCCTGGTGACCTGACCAACAATCCCTGAGATAAATTAATCATTTGATACATGGCTGTTTGTGGGACCTTGCCGTGAGCCACCGTTGCCGACAAAATACACAGTCACTACACTTTACAGAAGTTATCTTCGAAACACTTTGAGATGTTTTGAAGTCATAGATGCGATGTAAAATGCAAAGATTATTCTTATTATGTTCACATATTGCTGCATAGCAGTGTAAGCCTGTCCTGCCATGACTATTTTGTCTAATATGAACCTACACCGCCCATGAGCTCTAAAGCGTCCGATGTGAAAGGCGCTATTCAAATATATCGTGGTTGTTGTTGTTGAAAGCAATGATTACAAATGTTGATATTCCCGTACTTAAGAAAGCCCTTTCTTTTGCTAGGAGTGATTGGCGCAGATGTAAAAGGTCATAACTTGCCTTGCGAGATGCAGCCAATCACCTCACGACTTGCTCTCATCTGTGGGACGTCGTCCTGTCACATGGGGGTAAGGACCTTTTACGATGTACACAACCTTCAGTGAGTAATACTGTCAGAAGCACAATGCACAGCCTGTGGACATCATGAATTATTCAAGAATTGTGATCATAATTAACTACTGGACAAGAATAGCCACTTTAAACACAAGGGCATTGGTACCAAAGTTTTATCAGTCAATCAGCTTTAATCAAGTAACCTCAGACAGTTGTCACAGATTAGCAACAAAATAACTTCATGTTGAAACTAGAGCTGTATAAAGGTATTGTCTGGAGCAGTCCACATAACACAGTCTGTTTTAAAAATAGCAATCTATTCACTACGTAGTGAAGAGTGTGCTATTTTAATCCATCAGCATAAAAATAGACCCAGTCTGTTTATTCTTGTGTTAAATAGTAACCCTTAGATTTGGTATACTGCCTTTCACGTCGGAGGACGTCCAGGCAGAGGGCGAAACCTTGGGCAAGTTTCCTTACTCCACACAGAGCCTAATAATAATCCTCCAAAACAAAAACAATAATAAATTGGTCATTTTCAATCTACGACCGTTTGTGGGACATTGCTGTGCGCAATTGGCTGCCGCGTTCGCCAACAAATATACAGTCAATTCCCTTTACAGTGTGTTCTGTGAAGCGCTTTGGGATGTCCTCCCGACGTGAAAAGCGCTATATCAAATGCAAGGATTATTATTATAAAGCGCTTCACAGGATATACTGTAAACTGCAATGATTGTGAATTTGTAGGCGGAAATGCGGCAGCTAATTTGCGCATGGCAATACAGTGCTGGTTTGAGTAGACGGTTTGATCAAGAATTGTACAACAATTTACACTTAGATAGGGGTTTTATGTAGGGTAACGCATCTCAAAGTGTTCTGCAGAGATGGCATGGGAACCTCAGCAAGGTGGGAAGTCGTGGATTGAATGACTGGATTTTTTTTGGAGGTATTATTACCCCAAGCTACCCGCCGATTGACTAACAACTGGGTTACTGCTAAGTTAACAGAGCCGTAAGGAAACTTGCCTAAGGTTTTGTTCCGCTCGGGAATCGAACCCGGGTCCTATTGCTTGCGGGACGAACACGCTAACCACTACTACAGGACTCCATAATTGGGGAAAAACAAGACATTCCTAGTTGCGCATAATTTACCTAATTGACCTAATTTACTTACATGCTTGCAAAGCCCAACAGTTACAGAACTCACATTTCTCTTTCAGAATAGCCTATGGCCTCACATAAATACTTGCAAGTAACTGCGGTGAGAGGCTTGTCAGGTCATGCTGACATTCAGACTGCCTTTGATCTGCTTCAGGTGTTTCAGGTCAATAACACCATGTAACACTGTGTGTGAATTCAAGCCTTGGCTTTTTACTGCCAATAGCAAACAAAAGGAGGCACTGACTGATAGAAGCAGGGAATCAAATAGCAGCACTAGCAATGGGATTAGGCTAATGAGATTTCTATCAACAGCTCCTTCAGATGTTGTGAGGTAGCCATCCGGGCCAGCAAGACTTGGAGAGGCAGACCTGTCGGTCAGGGATTCTTCCCACTCAGTTTCTGGTAATCTTGCAAGCAAAAGTCCTAATGGATAATCTTCACTGGACAAGCAGCGGGACGTTTGCCAGACAGCTTTCACAGTGACAAGCTGCGTGATTTTATAATAATAATCTTTGCATTTGATAGAACACCTAATCACTACGTCGAGATGACTCAAAGCGCTTCACAGAATGTACTGTGAAGTGAATTGACTCTATTTTGGGGCAAATGCAGGAGCCAATTTGCATACAGCAATGCCCCACCAACCTTCATGGAGTGAGTGAGCAAGTTTATTTTTTAACTGGTTAAACCCGCTAGTCAAGTAAAGTTACTTTACAATGGTGACGATGCACTGATCTCTCAATACTGCACTGGATACAATGCCGAAAGAAGACACAGAGCTTCTCACCAAATCTCCCCCAGATACATTCACTCCATGGTTGTGTGTAGGACCTTGCTGTGGCATCCAAATTGGCTGTCTTGTTTAAGTTTTAGGTGCATTATCAAAATGTAAGGATTCTTATTATTTGAAGAGAAGCAATATAAATAGGTACATGGAAGAGTTGGGAATAGGGTTTAGAATGGAGAGCTTCACTGGAGGAGCTAGCACTAACATAGGCTTAATGGTCTCCTGCCCTGTAATTTCTATGGTTTGCATGAATCTATCAATAATACAGATAAATGCAAGGTACTACATATAGGAAGTAAGAATAGGAAACACATGTCCTCTATCGATGGGATAGAAATTGCCAAGGGGGAAGCTGAAAGAGATGGGGTATTAGTTGACTCACTGCACGCTATCTGAATATAGTAAGAGGTAACGATCAACAGGATATTGAGCTATATTGTTAAATTAGTTGAGTTTAGATCCCCAGATATCATACTCAGGCTGCAGAGTGTGATGTGAGGACACACCTAGAGCAACTGCATATAGTTCTGGTCAATATGACCATTGGGGAGAACAAGTTTGCAGGGCTATGGGGAGAGTGGGTGGGGAGTGATTTTGGATAGCTCTTTTCAAAGAGCCGGCACAGACATGGTGGGCCGAATGGCCTACTTCTTTGCTGTATAATTCTAGCACCTTATTGCATCTTCAAGACAACAACAACAACAACAACAAGATTCCATTTATAAAGCGCCTTTCACGTCAGGAGGACGTCCCAAGGCGCTGAAGACGTTTCAAAGTGCTTCACAGCATACACTGTAAAGTAATTGACTGTATTTTGTGGGTGAAACGTGGCAGCCAATATACACAGCCTTATCCACCTACAAAACGGTATCAGATAAGTGTTCGTACTGTGCCACTTTCTGGAAGTAGCCAAGTGGTTGGATTATTTGACCTATGCAATGTTGCATGGATTTAGCAATAAAAGCAGCCATTTTGTATAAAAATTAGGACTTCAAGACTGAGATTGATAGATTTCTTGTGGATAAAGGAATTAAGGGATATGGGGATAAGGCGGGTAGTTGGAGTTAGAATAGAACAGCCATGTTCTTATTGAATGGCGGGGCAGGCTAGAGGGGCCGAATGGCCTACTTCTGCTCCTAATTCTTATGTTCTTATGACTTCAATGTTAGAAATCTCCAGCCAACACTGTTTTAATATCATCAGCATTAAAGTCGCTGAATGAAGAGAATTGTAGAAACATAAGTTCTTGCTGTTGTTGTTACACCCATGTGTGGTGCAGTTTAAAGTCCTGAATTCTTAAACGTCCCTCATTTGCTTGCCATTGAAAGCTGCTTCATGTGGATAGACTGTGGTTAAGATATCCTGTAATTTGACTTTGTAACTAATTCTGTTATTAGCCTGTACTGAATCATTGTGATGAGATCACAGCAACCTCTCAGTCTTCAATGAATGTCACATCTGTATTACTCCCAACACTCATTAGAAGTCTTTATATTCTACAGAAACCGTAACTTTTATTGTAAAAATGATAGATAGTTGGGAGTGAGAAAACGATTGCAATTGAATCTGGAGTTCAGATTGTGTGCAGAAATCCTTGAATCTCTTCTCTCATGGATCATAAACCACAAGATTAAATTAAAGCTTTTTGCTCACACCCGACCATTGATAATTCTATTTTTAATCATGGTCATTTTGTTCTGCGGTCCAGATCAATGACTGCCATTCAGTAGTGGCATTATGCTGAGTTTTGGGCTGCTGGTATGTCAGCCTGCCTCAGTCAGTATGGGTTTTGCCTCTGAATCAGAGGGTTGTGGGTCATGGGACTTTTTAAGTTCACAACCTAGGCTGATGCTCCAGTGCAGTAGTCAGGGAGCTAATGTAGAGGTGCCATTCTTTGTATGAGATGTAAAATCAATAAAAGGGTACAGGCTCAGGGAGTAAGGGGCAAGGTTAGGAAAGATACCAGGGGCAACAGCTAGTTACCAGAAAGGGTGGTTCTAATCCTTAGCACTTAAGAAAGTTTGATACTATAAGTGGGAAGATGGTAGAATTTTTATCCTGAGATCCAAATGAGTCATAGGATCTTCTTCATCCAAACTCTCTAGTATTAGATCTTGTTATGACAACCTCAGTTCCTTTCTCTTCTCTACGGATTCACTGGGTTCCAGTTATCGTGAGAGGTGTGGTTTATGGTCACATAATGTCTGAAAGGTTACAGGTGTGTAGGAGGTGTCAATGTGGGGTTTTCTGTGTTGGACTCAAAATGGGATTGTTGTCATTGCTTGTTGGAGCAGTGAGCTCTCTTTCAGAAGTCACAATGATACAGAAACTCACTGTGTGGGTTTTGAGACAACAAGCCCCTTGATGTTGGTAGAGGGTGTGAGTGTGTGCGTATAGTAAAGCATCATCCTTGTTGCTGCCCTTCAGACACCAAAGGATGTCAGGGCATCCTGTAACCACCTGTGTGGCAAGTACACCTTCCAGCTAACATCTCTTGTCATTTAAAGGTGCAGTTCTCTCTTTATGACTGGTAGAGTAAACCTCACATAAGTCGTATCAGTTGGGACCATACATTTAATGTGACTTCTGCAAACTCTGAGTTATGTCAAACTTGCATAGAATATAAACTCTTGAACGGGACTCATGCATGCATCTGCATGCATGATTTGGGCGATTAGATGATTTACACAGATCAGAAATATGTGAGTTTTACTTTAGTAGCGAAGTATCATTTCAATTATGAGAGCAACACACATCCAATTTACCTGTTCGTGTGGATGTGGCAAAAGTTGGTGGGAGAAACTATTCTCCAGAAGTAGAAGGGTGTTAATTACCAAGTCGATATTTTGGAATGGCTCAAAATTGGTGGCATTTCCTGCAACATTCAAAGTGACAATTATTGTTTTACCTTGCCGCAAACTTTACCCAGTGTGTGAGTTCCCGATCATTCTTCAGTGAATGGAATTTGATTGAAACAGTTTTTTTTTAAAAAGTAAAAGTGTTTGATATTTTCAGAAAATCTTTCATCATATTTTACAATATGCTGGAACATGCAATACTCTTTGCC